TCAATTATGATAATTTAGTCCTAAATCTTTCAAACTTTTAGATGATTTGCCAATTTAATTCTAAAAATTTTAACGATTTGTCAATTTTAGCTAGAAATTGCTGACGTGATGGTCAAGTTAGCCCTGGCCGTCCTTCGTGGAATAGTCAGCACTAACATAGATAATATTTATTTCACTTTTTTCTGTGTTTCTATTCTTCTTCTTTTTTTTGTTGTTCCCTTTTTCACTATGCAGGGGATCGTCAATGGCCGGCGGAGGTCGCTGGCCTAAGCGCAGGCAATATAGCTGCCCTCGCCCAATTTGGGAAGGGGATCCAGTAACTAGACTTTCCTTTCACGGCTAGAGTGATAGTTGTGGACATGAGATGCTTCGCTCTAGACTTCATAAAGTGATTCTGTTGGGTTGTCGAAAAATCAAGCAGAAACAACGAAAAGAAAAGGACTTGGAAGTGAGTGTTTTTCACTCTAGTTCTGTGAAGTCGATGCTTGCTGTGATGACACCTTGTACTATGTTCCATTCAACTGGAAAAAGATTGATTCTCTATGCTACTCTGCAGAAGAATATACTCGCTTTGAGCTGTTTTATTATCCTGGAATAGAAAGAAAAATATGTGAAGGAATTACGAGTCTATTTATGCCTCTAATATTCTTTGTCACCAATCAGCAAGAGAAAAAATGGTGCTGAAACTCAATATCTCGAGTTGAAGAAGACCTGATCTGGTAGAATAAATCTGGACAATATTGATGTTACTACGGGCCTACGACAATGCTTTATCTCGTTCACACCCTCAAAACTTGTGCTTGTCAAACAAATCTTTAGCGAATGAAAGTTCCGAGAGCCATGACTCGGTAAAATCAAGTTGGAAATTTCCATGTCTCACTCAGCAAACAAAAAACTGAAGCTGAACAAGGGAGGATTATGTGCTTATGGGACAAGTTAACCATCTATGTTCACGTGTTTTGGACATGAGTCAACCAAAGTATTAAGATGGTTCTCAGTTTCTGATAGACTTGCGGCTAGACAAGAAAAATCCGTGGGTCCACTAATAATTCTGGAGCTGAATCACTGTGCATCCGAAGGAAATAACTATGGGAGATGAAATCCTGCGTGCTGATCACAGTCGTAATTCGACAGTTTCCACATATTCTCTTGCAGAAGAAACTTATTATAGGGGCCTTATAAGAGAAATCCCGAACTCCTGTTTACAAAAATCATCATGAAAATAAGAAGTTGTGCATATTGTTTGTCGCAAAATTTGCTATTCTTGTGATGTTGATATGCATCAGTTCACTTGGTTTACATTTCACCTGTATGATTGTGAGCCCTAATCTTCTAGAGCATAATGCCTCTATGATATCTGAGAACCTAACTCTGAAGAAAAAGCCATTGCCAATTCTAATATGGAAACTCGAACATGTTGGCAAAAAGGCATTTCTCATCTTTCTGGGATTATAGATTTGTACAGATGTAAAACGAGGGAACTATTCTTAAAGGTCTTTTTTCCCCTCAGGATTCAGAGTCAGAAACCTGAGAAGCGTGTTGAGGAGTATCCTAATATTACTGGACTCGACTGTGCAACGATTGCAAAAAAAAGAAAAAAGAAAAAAGAACCTGACAGGAACTCTGCATTGTGGCCATGACCGTGGTCTTATCTGCAATCCTTATTAGGATGAAGAATATTTTGTTAAGGCCGATGGAGGCTTCTGTCAAGGAAGATATCTTGGTGTTGTGTACCGTCTGAGTCTCAGTGGATCCTTTTCTCTTTTATATATCGAAGATCAAAGATGGTTCAAACACCTCGAGTTGGACAAAAGCCTAAGGACTGCAGCAATTGTCATGCACTCAGCAGTAGATCTTCTTCATGCGGTACTTCTGCTGCTTTCACTCTGTACTGAAAACCCATCACCTGGATCTAATAGAATTGCCCAGCTAATCAGCCTTCTTGCAGATCTTTCCCTTCCTCAGTTAAGAAGAAAACTTTTTCTGCAGAAGCTAAAAAGCAAATGCCCGAAGTTTTTGGTAAACTAAATTTAAATGCTTTCTCATGTTCCTACGGGAGTCATCAATTAAATGACTCATCGTATGTCAGATAGTGGAAGATTTAAACCATACCTCTATCACCACAGATAAAAAGGACCCAACAGCTCAATTGTTAGCTGATATTTTCAATTGCCTACTCGATGCTATGTTGATTTAGTAGAATTATGTTATCCAACGCTTATTCAAAAGAGACCCTCCTTAAAATCACGCAGCTAGTGTCGATGTTATGCTGTTTTAACGGTTAGGTGATGATTTTAGTTGTCATTTCATTAATGAGAGGCCCAAGATCCTTCCAGCAATGAATATACTGAAAGTAGTTGCGCTTTTCCAACATGTTCCCGTGTTCTTTGAATCATCCCCTCATATGTGATAGCCAAAAAACATCTGGTCCACTTTCTAAATATGGATGGGCTGATGCTGCACTAAATCTCATCCTTTACATGTTTGCTAGTCATGTAAGTATTGCTAGCCAAATGGTTTTCTCTAGAAATCTGAGCAAAACGCCACATCTTGGCTTGTATGTCATTGGAAATGGGCATCTTCTGAGGTTTGTTGCATCTTTTTAGGAAGGAATGAACATGTTGAGAAACAGGTAATAGACCTGTGTCCCCAAGGAGATGGGAGAGGTTCTCAATTCGTCATGCAATGCAAATTTAATCAGAATCTCGTAAACCTCTTACTTAGTTTAACATTTCTATCTGGTGGCTTGCTTGTATTCTAGGTATTTGGAGCCCCTTGGTACTTGTCGTCAAAGAAACATGGTGTGTTGGACACAAGCATGCAAAAGCCGCGTGAATTGTGTTGTTGCATCATTGCACAGTGATGCACTTCAGGAGATAAGATATTCCTGGAAGATCTTTCCCCTTTTCAAGCACAGACGGTGAATGCCTCGATGCCTTCAATCTTGCATTCAGGGCTCCACTGATTTGGAGAACGAGTCCTATTACTGCTTTTGATGGTGCCCGCCAAACCTGACCTTGTGCTCCATTAGAGCCTCTTAAAATTTCTTCATGGGTTTTATCCCATGCTAAATTAACAGAAGTTAAAGTTCCTAAATTAGAAGCTTCATTTATGACTCGGCTTCAGGGCTTATCTTCTGGCTAGTGCACACTACTGGCAAATCTTTTGCAGTACTCTTGGTCAGAACCTGAAATCAAGTGCTTATCGATGGGAAATCTGCTGTGCGGTTTGTATTTCCATCTCGGGCTTGGTCGTATCTCTGCTTATTGAAAATATGCAGGTTGGTACTTTGCCAAAGGGAGAGAAAAGATGGTTATGAGCACCTGTACCTGATATTTATGCCTGTTATTTAGACTGTCCCCATTTTGAGACCATGCAAATAATTTCTGCTGCATAATTCAGCTTTACCTGGAGAAAATGTGTTGCGTCAGCTTCCAGTTGAGGCATTCGTATCTTCAGACGAAGACGCCATCGAAATTGGAGAAAATGTGGGAGAAAAAGCGAGAATTGGAGAGGTGAACACAGTAGCCTTTAATCCTGAAGAAACTGAGGAAGCAAATAAGTTGGTGTCAAGCCATCAGATGGCAGGAGACTAGAGGTGTCAAACTTGAGAAATTGCTCCACAATATCCTTCTGGACTTGAGGAGGGACATGAAGCCCCATCTCTGCAAGGAGGTCTTGAAAAGAGTGAGTTCTCTAAGTTATATAAACCTCGCATCTGGTCCAAAGATACATGTTTCCATGAAATGCTGCGTTAGTCGAGCATTCCTGCTTCACATTTGGAAGAAAGAGGTTGAAGCATTATGCAGGCTTTGACCATTTCATGACATCAGTCACATAGAAATTTCCTCCTCTTGCATGCATATGAAGGCGCCGACTTTCCAAGCGCTAGTTAAAGGATCTTCCAAGTGGGAAAGCCTCTGCGACCGTCTCAAGCCAGTGCACTTTGCAGAAAGAAGCTATATCCTTCACGCCGGAGACCTAGTCCACAAGAGGGTCTTTATATTAGAAGGCGAGATTTCATCCTTCGTCAACAAGCGTTATGGGCTTGGGGGTCATGTGGCAACCATCTCAGAGACACTTAGAGCGGTTCATGCATTTCCCTTCATTCAAACTACCTCTGGCCGCCCTAATTATCCAAAGCCTTAGGGGAAGTCCCAGCCTTGTAACAGCAGATGAGTTGAGGGACGTGCTCATCCGTCTGGAGCGGAAAGAGATTCTGGCAGCCTAAACCATACAAAGAGCATGGCCAAAGCATCAAGGAAGCAACGAATAATGTGCCCCAGCGAGGCAAGAGGGTAAGTTTCTTAAGCTGGGAAGGGAGGACCCCTTGGACTTGATGCTGTCGTCTTCCATTACGCAGCAACAGGTCATACTGGTTGGTCATGATGCCAATGACGGTGAGTGATAAGACACTGATAACGTGATGAACACAGGGTTGTGTGCCATCATTCCTGTGTCTAGACTCTGTATGTGCTCTAATTTCTTCAGGTTATCTGAGATTGCAATCCTGTTGCTCCTCTTGTAAATGTAGTCCATCAGGTCAAAATGGTTCGCACTGGCAATTTTAGTATCCCTTCGTCAATTATAGCGCAGGAAGACTGCACATCATATATGCTGCTTTCAACACTATCATTCGGGCAAAACAGTTGAAATAGGGTGCAATGTCTCCTGGGTTAAGCGACAACATGATGGTATAACTTACTCAATTCCACAGTATCACAAATACAACAAAAACAAAGGCCTGCATAAACCATCAATGGAGTTTTGGCTCAAGTTCGCTGTCAATGTGAACTGCCAGCGATGAAATCAAACCATGTATCACCACGACAAAAGCCGGACCTCATCTCTATCAGATGAGAAAAACCATCCATAAAAACTGACTTGTTTATCTAATCCGCACAAATAGCTCGTATTTTAACAGCCAAGAAGCTCTAGCGTGTTGTTTCTTTTCTGGAAGTCTACTCCTATGGATGATCAGACATCAGTACTCGCAAGTGTGATCCTAAGAATACTAACAATACTTTATATCATGTGCATAGAAATTGTAAGAAACAGTACATAAGAAGTCATCATTGCACAAGAGCCTCAAAGCTAGGTCTCCATGATTCACTCAAATTCAATATTCAGCAATAATCATAATTTTCCGTATGGGATAATCCTATACTGCTAAATAATAGAGTTGCTGCTTCGACCCGCAAGAGAGCACAACTTCATCGCACTGGATTCAGAATTTCTCGCAGTGAGCTCACCTCCCGCTTCAGAAATGTCGGCAGTGCAAACGCAGCTGAGTGCATCTGGCATTTCACGAATAAAAATACGTCATTTCATTTTAGAGTAATTTTGTTAGAATTATATCCTTAAATTTTCTCTAGCAATCCCCTGCATAGAACTGTGTTTATTGCCCCATGGCTGATCGATACCATGTATAGAAAAAACTTTAACATGTTTTGTGACAAAAGGAAAAAAAAAAGAGATTCTAGCCCTAGAAAAATATTTTTGGGCCAAGCCCTTCTCACGAAATTTATACTGTTTCAGCACCAGAAATGCTATCAACCTATGTTTAGACTGCAGTAGTTTTTTATTTTTTTTTTGGGTCATGAGACTGCAGTAGTTAAGTGGTGAGAAAACAGGAGATAGAAGCCAAGAATTAAACTGCCACAAACAAACTGAACGCAAGGAGCAGTTGCAACTGCCAGGATTTTGCTGATTCTCAATATAATCGATGGTTACTTATATTATCAAAGATCAAATAAATATCACTGCCAAAAAATGCCTCAAATCAGCATGGCTCACATTTTGCTAAGCATAACTTATGCATCTTTAATCTTCCCACTAGGTATAGATCCCATCCATGATCTTAGGTCAGCAAAACATACTGTGAATTACACAAGATTGAAGTCACCGATGCAATCTAATTGAATTTCAGCCAGACCAAAAGTGCTTACCTCCGAATTGTAAAACCTAAGTTCTCTTTTATGCTTTGTGGCTCCTTCTAACTTCTCAATAGGGTTAACAGGATGAATGAAATCAACAGGTGGGCCCTCTGTCGAGCATAACAGAAATCCAATCACTCCACTGCATCGCAAGTAAACAGCCCAAAGTGAGAAATATTTCCATAGTATTCATATCGGCATTTACACACCTACTCATGTTATATCACATCAATACCTACAAGAAGCTAAAGAAACCACTTTACACAAACATTACCGTGATTATTTCAACAAATCATGTGATAATGATTCTTTAAAACTTCAGCAGGACTGCTTCAACAATTACCTTGGATATGTAGGAACGCTTGCCCATGCATAGTGGACTGATCCTTTAAATGTTTCACGGCAGATAGAGAACATGGCTTCTATAAGATGCGTGTGGAGCCACATGCTTTCTGCCATGTTGCAGAGAACACCACCTGGTCTTAATGCCCTAGCTATGGTCTCAAAAAATGGCTTCTCCACCAGCTCCTGAGCGGGACCTGCACACAGATGTGCAATCTGATGAGAACATTTCTTCTTGATATTTTTCTTAGATGCTAGCATTTTAGGAGACCCAGAAGCCGAAAAACTTAATGCATAGTTATCAACAAATTCAAATCGCATAAAAAAACGTCAAAAAATTCTACTTAAACATCAAGGCAGTAGAAATATTGTTTAAAACAAGTGTACAAAACATAATTTGCTCCACATCGTTGCAGATATCTAGAATTCCTTCTCACAAATTTTACTTTGAACTCAAGGTGAATCCAGAATAGATTATATCCATAACCACATTCGACAAATAAAACAGAATTATTAACACAGATCACAATTCACATACCCACAGGGTCCGATGAATCAACAATAATTGCATCATACTTGCCCTCAGGAGCTCTCCGAAGAAATTCCACGGCTTGAATACATACCAAAAGAGTTAAATAATAAGATACACTAGCAAATTGCATAAAGGATAGTACAAAACCAAGAGAGCAAACAAGAGACATGGATATTTGAATACCATCACCAACATGCAGGTGAACCCGGGGATCCTCAAATCCAACTGCTAACTCTGGAAAAAATTTCTTAGACACCTGAAGATTAGATGCTAAAAAGATCAGCTCGCTAACTTGGAAAGAACCAACAAAATTGTCAAAAGTCAAAGAATAGCAAAAAAGTTACTTACATCAATTACCAATTGATCTATCTCACAGATATCAATAAGCTCTACAGAGATATGTCGAGAAACTTCTCTCAGTACCCCACCATCACCTCCACCAACAACTAAAACCTGCATCAAAAAGTATTTTTACGCCGCTGAACTAACATCAAACAAAACAAAACCTAATACAATGTAAAATATACCCAAGGATCGATAGTCTAACTTATTTAGGCATAGAGGTTCAGAGTAACTGGCTATGCCCACAGAAAATAAGCAAAATTTTCCTCCATCTCTGAATTATGATTGGTCGCGCAATTTTACCATCAGAGGAATATTATCAATTGATTATAAAAGAATAACGATGAAAAGGATTAGCGACAAAGATATAGCTCATATATAATTTCTCCTCTTCCTTTGCCTTTCTCGAGATATAGGACAGAATCAGGAATAAGTCAATGTAAGTTACCTTCTTCGGCGATGGTATTGAACACAAGGGAAGATGTGTAATCATCTCTTGGTAGGCACATTCGTCTTTCTCAGTCAGTTGTACAATGCCATCTAGAACCAGCACCTTACCATATGCTGAGGACTGCAGAAAAATTTTCTGTGAAACTGATTGCCACATTCTCTAAGTCCAACTCAACTTTTAGCGGAGCATCAAAGATAAAATGAAGAAAAGCACCTGAAAAACCAGAACCTCCTGATATTCCGACTTTCCCTTGTACAATATCTTCTCTACTTTCAGAGAATGTGCTTCCCCTGCCAAAGAAAATGCAAGTCATCACTACTTATGCATGATGACCATAGGAAGTGTTGCATTTTCCAGCAAAATGCTATATCCAAAACTCAGCTAGAAAAGAAAACAAAGGTACCCATAAGATACTTCCAAAGAATCACCCAATCATGCCAAGCTAAATCAGGCTGAACAACAAGGGTAAAAACTAAACCTAAGGAGTTAGGAATCTCAACAGGAATTCAGCAATCTCGACCGTGCTAGATATACAAAAATAACAATCAAAGTTCCCTACTCCTTGATATAACGATGCAGAACCTCAATCTCTAAATGCTAGCGGTTAAGCAACTCTTCATGTGTCAACAGTTCGCCGCCAGGAAACGAATACTGGTAGAACATAAATCTTGCAAAATAAAAGAACAGAGATTAATAACCACCTGGCCACATTGGGTTGTTGAAGTAAACCTCTTTGCCAGCTTCATCGGCTGCAGAGATCAACATTCGAGAAGTGTCAATATAAACTCATACCTATCTTAAGCTCCTAAACCCTATGTATAATACATTGGATAAAGTTCTTAATTAACCTGATAATTAGATGTTGGTCCCACAGAGAAAACCTAATAATCAAATGATCTAAAACCTGAGCATTGGACTAAAACATCAAAGATACAAACAGTGAGAGTCAACAAACAGACCAGCAAAAGTTTTGAACTCCGAAAACCACCCTGAAACAACAGTGGAGTGGCACTTCGCATCAAGCTCGGGGGCGGAGGCCATAGCCTTTAAGCAACAAGAAGGAATCACCTTCTCCGAACCATTCCCGTTATTCTCCCTCCCATCCATAGTCTTCAGGCATTCCAAACCTCTTTCTGCGCCTCCCTCCATATATAATCCTTTTCTTCTCAGGCTCCAGTCTCTGAACGTTCCACCAAATAGTTAGAAATTAGATGATCTTTGAAATAGAACGGCTCAAGTATCATTGCACAGAAGCACCCACAGACATACAAGCTGCTTTAGATTACAGCATCCATTTACATCTGACAATAGATAACGAACATACAATCAGAATTTTAAGGTCAGGGATTGGAAAAGTTCTGAAAGGCCATATAATACACAGGACGAAGATATCAAATCGATCATTCACGAGATTTTAAAAAAACAGAGCTTGCACGACACATCTTGATCGCCAAGTTCAAACAATAGTACCAGATCGTAAGCTACTCAGCGAGCACCAAAGCCACAAGACAATGGAAGAACTATACCTGTTGGGGAGAACTCCAAAGAACTACGAACTGTGCAATCCCAAGAACTGTGCAATCCCAAAACAGAATATTTTATCGAGAACAGATCCAGCAACAAAATAGGAAATTTTTGCCACTTTGGCTATGAATTAGGAAAGAATCGATTGAAATAACAAAACAGAATAATGGGCATGTCAGGTCTCAATATCAAGCAAAGTATGAAGCACATTTTATACCCCAATTTACACCAAGAAGATCTACGATAATCAACACTAAACAACACAAGTGCCCTTTTAAAACCAAGGATATAAAATTCATTAAGAATAACTTCCCATTCTATTAAAATTCCCCAAGCAACTAGTGATCAAAGTCAAACATATAAAATGAGAACACCGACATCATCAAATTCAAATCCAAATCCAAACAGTCCCCGTCAGCTCGGTGGAGTGAAAACAACTTTCTTTTCCCTTTCTTTTCACGCATACGCAGCATTTAGCGGCATACCCATTTCAATACCTTCAACAGAAAACGAGAAAAAAAAAACGAAAAAAAATTCAATTTTTCCAGCGCGAAAGGACTCAAGCATCGATTTTTATCCACACCCACTTCGTTTTAACCAAGCTCGAAGAGAGCCCGGGCTCAAAAAACACATCGAGGACGCAAACAGAGAATCCAGGAGCAGCTCATTCGAAGGGAAAAAAGCAAACAACTTTCGAAGACAGATGAAGTGAGACAGAGAGACAGAGAGATCTTGCCTGTGGTTAATAACAGTTGGGACTAAGACGTAATCTTTGCCAAGAAATCTAGCAAGAGGAAGCAAATAACGAAGAGGTAAACCGAGAGGAAGAAGCAGTAACGAAATTTTCCTTTGCCTCTTGCTTCCCTCTCCCTTTCCGCCTGCAGATTTCTCTCTCTTCCCTTCTGCAGCTTCTGCTCGAGCCCCAGATGAAAGTATATATACACCTGCAAATTTGTAACATCAGGGAATATAAATAATAAATATGGCGCAAAATATATAAATGCTAATTAGATTACAATATCAAAAACGTGTTCAAGCCCCGCGCTTTTCCCACCGTGAACTCTTATTCCTTTTCCCACGTACTTCCTTTATAATATTGAGCAAAATTCGATCTTTAAAGACTGGCATGCTCAGTCGTCGCCCGAATGGGAAAGGGTCAATTTTCTTCCGCTCTCTTTTTCGCAATCGGTTAACACCACGAAAAATCCCAAGTTAATACACCCGTGATAAATTTATCTAATATTAATTTTTGTAAAATTTTATCGTCAAATTATTGAGTTGGACGGCACGTGACAGTTGACGGATATACCTGTTTGGAGTTTTATCCCCGTTCGTCGCATGTGTACCAATTTGTGATTTTTTGCGGTATTGTTCCAATTTAACGGAAATATACGGAAGGTAAATTTGTCACAAATATACCAGTTTTTGGTTTTTTATGATCAAAAAATTAATTTTGAGTAAATTTATTATGAACGTATCAATTTGAAATTTTTCGTGATATTAATTAATTTATTTTTTTGTTTGATGTGATTGGCCGTAAAGAAATTTTTTCTTTTTTCTGTTTATGATGAGGTGGGGAATGAAGAATCGAAGGGATGGTTGGTCCAAACGCACGCGAGGGAAAAGTAAAGTCGAGACAAAAGAGGCGAGGTCGCTCCCCCCACAAAAGAGAGTGTTCGCGGTTTATCGAGAAAAAGGAGAGAAGGGCATGATTCGCAAATCATCTTTCCCGTGGAATCTGATGAGCTGAATGATGATGGTCTTTGCGGTGGATGATGGAGAGAGTTCGGAAATTACGTTCGTCTCCTCTCCGACCACGCTTTGACACCGACCTGTCGGATCCTAAGTTCTTTCGCTCTTCCGAGCCAGTAGTTAGCACAGGTCTTGCGAGCGTGCGTGCGTGCGTGCGTGGACGAAAGGAAAGGGAGAAGTCTGCGAGTAGATGTGATGAATGGACGGTACCGGATGGGACGGATCGGATATCGGGTCTAGAAGAGGGTTTAATCTCGATGAGCCTAGGTGGGTCTATGGTGGTTTCGGACCTGATCGGATTGTGCGGGATGTTAGCCTCGAGATCGGGCCTTGTTACCGAGCAGCGCTGAGGGAGAGAGACATCCGAGGCAATCATCTAGATTCAAAAGCAAAAGGGATAATGACACAAATAATTTATGAACTTTGTCCAAATGTGCAATGTGATGCTTGAATTTCCAATTTGTTCAATAGGGTCCATGAACTTTAACCCAATGTGGTCCCTAAACTTTTAATTTATTCAATGTGGTTCATAAACTTTTGGTACATGTTTAATATAGTCCCTAAACTGTAGTCACTGATTACATTGAACAATAGATCAAAAGTTTAAGAACAACATTAAACAAATTAAAAGTTTTAGAACTATATTGCACATTGGGCCAAAATTCAGGGACTATTAATATCATTTTCCCAAAGCAAAATTAGACGGGATGCTTATAATCAGAAAAACGTATTTGCTTGATTGCACCACTATTGGTCAAGTAAAATCATACCTAGGATGAATCTATTGAACATCTTTCAGACTAAAGTCATGCCTCGAAAGCTTCAAATAACAAAGACTTACAATAGGGTAAGCTACGAATATCTAGTCGGATGATCGTTATATAATGAAAGTTATTGGGATTGTTCTCTTACCTGCGCTTACTACACGAGTTTAAAATTGCAACAATTACAAAGGGGAAGAGAATATGATTCCCCAGATGGACTGTTCGAGCTCTCCATATATACAAGCCATTCTTTTACACTGTCGGGCATATATGGAGTTGGGAAAATAATCACTCTTCCTTTTGATTGATTAAGTCTTTAAAGAATAGAGATGTTGAGAATGTACGTATGTTCCCCGTTGTCGTGTGTGCTTTTGCGAGGTATAGCAAGTGCATTTTCAGGGCCCTCTAGCTTCTTTTCTCATTCTTGTCAAAAGCTAAAAGGCACCTCTTGCTCGGTAGAGGAAAGAGGCATCACGTATATGATAATGCGATGCTTTTGAGTTCGTGATCATCATGCCTGGATGAGCATCGCATCTACTTCTAGAGCACCAACATGAGCCATCCACATAGAAAAATGGGACATTCTCGTAGTGATAATTATCAAAACGATCATAAACTTAACTGTGCGAATATCGATTCAGTAATATACCTTTCAATTTGGCCAATATGACAGTGCCACGTAGGACGGTCAGGGTCCACGTTAGTCATTTTCGGCCAAAATTGGCCTGAAAAACTTCATTGACAAATTGTCAAAAGGTTTAGGATTAAATTGGCTAAATTAAAAGGTTTAGAACTAAATTTGCATTCTTATAATCGGTTTAGGACTACTTTGATAATTTTCTCGATTCTTGAGTAATCGAAATCAAAGAAGAAAGTGACAGAGCACGAGCATAAGGTTACGGAAGAACTTGACACTTCATTTCATCCCTCGTGTTGCTAAGTGTAAATAATTGCATATTTGGATCATTCTCTTGAAATCTTCTTTTTTACCTAATTCATGAGATTAGTCGGCATTTTATGAATTCGGACTAAATCCATCGACGGAAGAATTCACATCATTAAAAGAAATGAAGACAAAGCGAGACTTACTTTTAAGAGTTTAGGAGATGGCTAGTACACAACTTTTCAAGCCGAATCCCCAAAAACATAAAACTCACGAAATTTTACTTGATGGACAAAATTACCCCGACTTTTCAAATGACTCAAAAAAAGCCCCAAGGGATAAAATTGGCCATTGTTAAATTTTCCTTTCATGCTAGTTGATGTGGCATGTGACGTGGCTACAGTGCTGACATGTATAGAAGACATGTCGGCTTGAGCCAAAAGACGGCACAGGCACGTCGGCAACAACCAGATGACACCGTATTTCTTAGGAGAAAATGACAAAAGTGGTATATAGATACGATATTTTGCCATGACCTCAAAAGTTTGAGTCGGGTTATTCGATGCATAGTTTAATATCTACTTGAATACACCTCAATCCATAAATACGAAAATCGAATTCTTGAACATGACCCACTTTTGGTAATCAAGGAATGGCGCACTTGAAATCTGTCAAATATGGTTTGGATTTGAGATGCGCACGTTTCAAATCGACGTGGACAGCTCAACTAACAGGACTTTGGCAGTGACCAGAGAGGTCGGGACCCGATTTTTAATGTCTTTGTTTTTTGGGCTAAAGATCCGATTTTTTAATGTTGGCATCAATTCAAAACACGATCGTCGGCTCTCAAATTTTATTTTTATATCTTCTTTTTTCCATCATTTCAACTTTTTCGACACACGCAGACTAAATTTTTCTAAAAATAAGTCATATAAATTAAGAAGAAAGAGAGGAAAGAAAAAAAAAGAATCAGGTCATTTCATGATCAATGGATCCGTCATTTTTTGCACATGCCTACGGTCTCGATTTCATAACGTGTCTGAATTAACTTTTGCTCTTTACTATTCGTTTAATTTAAATCTTGCGATAGTTGCAATTCGATTTTTTCTTAACCCTAAGTTTACAATATGCAATTGTTGACATTTTGATTTAGGTGTATGTTTTTTTTTTTTGCAATTTTCCAAAAATTGAACAATATCTTAAGTTTTGACAGAAAAACGAGAAATAAATACTTTTATTTTTTTACTTTAACTGAATTCTAAACAAAAAAGCTTCTATTTGTATCTCTCGATGATTTCAAAACAAATTTCACAAAGCATATAATAGTTTATTGGCTTTACAATTGTTAGATCAAGCCCCAAGGTTTTATTGTTGTACTCCAAATTCTGTGTGCAATTAGGCTCTTATGCACGAACTAAGAGTGATAGAAGTCTTGCTCGTCCTACCATTTTTCACACCTGATTTTCAACAGGTCAAAAACATAAAAATAGAAAATAAAAGAGGAAAAAGAAATGGAAATATTCGTCATTGCTGTCATAAGATAGCAACTTGTCATGCTCATTGCTCAAGCTATACGCTGCAAATGCAATTTTACCAGAAACGGAGGGCAAAAAAAATGTCAAAAGTTCATATCATATTTGTGGACGAACAGTATGTGGAGACTTGTAAGATGTCAAGTTTACTTGCAACTCTCCCTAATTTTATATTTAGCAGAAGTACGACCGACAAAGCTACTGCAGACTTCTTCGTCATAAAAAAAGGGAAAAAAAATAGATGTGAATCCTTAGGTGGAACTAGCCCTCTTTCTATTCCAATTCGATTTTCATAACAAGGCACAAGTTAACAAAACCCCTCTGTCGGGATACTATGCTTAGGGCCTTTAGATTAGGGGTGAACATAGTTCTAGGGTAGAACCTGGAACCTGAGAACCTGACCGGTGGGAACCTGTAAGTTTCAGGTTTCAAGGTATACATGGTAGGTTCCAGGTTCCAAAAATTGAGGAACCTGTTTCGACGGGTAGGTTCCAGGTTATAGATAGGGGGAACTTGGAACCTAAAACCTAAATAGTTTTTTATGTTTTTTCTTGGTTTATGTCTTCGGGTGATCTTGCGGTGTTTTATGGCGTTAGATGATGAGTGAATAATCTAGAATCACTAGTCTGAGCTTTCATTTTATGACTAGTTAATATTTCATACTCTTCGTGTGTCAAAATATAAGTTATGGCCAGTGGATCATAACAGCAAGTGGTGATCATTAAAGGTGATGATTCACTGCAATTGTTCAATTAATAATACATGCAAAACTTAGGTAGACCCTATAATCGACTTGGAACTTGATAGAGTAGGTTTCAAGTTCCAAAAAATGAGGGATCTATTCTCATGAGTAGGTTCCAGGTGAAACCTGTACGGAACATGGAATCGCTCACTCCTAGTATTGATTCACATAATGAATTCTCATTTTAATTGTATTTATTTGAACCGTAATGCCGGAAAAACTAGTTTTTTGTATTCTCTTTGGTGAATGACAAGCTTGT